TGTTTTAGAATTCAGAGAATAAGTTCCAAAATTCCTATTTAAACCCGAAAATTGTTAAAAAAAAAAAATCTAAAAAAATTCTATTTGCTGTTAAAATAATCATTAAATTGTGGGGAATAATAAAATATTATTTTTATTTGAGAAAAATTTCTAAAATTTTTCTATTTCAAACAATTTTGAAAACAATTAATTTTTTTTTTGTATTTAAGCTTTTTAGACAAAAACAAAATAAAAAGTAAGGCAAGTTTTGTATTCCCTTGTTCCTTTCTATTCCCTAGCAAAATTTTGTAAAATAAATACAATTTTTTAAATTAATTTTTACATAGTTTTTATTTTGAAATTCCGAGTAGTGTATTAAATTTTTGTCAAATTTGACAATTTTATAATACAATAAATTTTTATTTCTTTAAACTAAGGGGGTTATTTTGTAAATCCCTTCCCCTTACTTCACTTCATTTTTCATATAAATTGTTTTTGTAGTTTCAAAAATTTGTATGAAAATATTTTCAACGCAAGGTGAAGTGTTTTACAAAATAAGGAGGTAAATTTCTACTTTTGGCTCTTTAAGAAAATTATGTAAATCACCAACATACAAATAAAATAGAAATGAAATTTATTAAAACATAATAAAAAATACATCATCATTATCAAGTATTATGTGCCAAGCATTAAATATAGGAAAATAGTAATAAAAAATAAAACAATACTTAAAAAATAAATAAAATATAATACTTATATACACTCAAAAATAATATACATACCTATAAAAAATATACTACTATACACACAAACATACATAAATTAAATAATTATTAAAACACACAAAAACAACAAACGCCGACCTTAATAAAAAAATTAAGTTAAAACAAAAACTTTTTGGCATAATGGAAATTTTTATAAAAAAAAAAACTTTTTTGGCATTAACAAAAATTACAAACAAAATGAAGTGTTTCGGACTCAAAAACAAAATTCTAAAATTCAGGTACTAAATTACAAACATGATAAAAATAAATAAATATTTTAAACTGAAAGGCAAACTTAAAAACAATTAAAATCATAATAAATAAATAAATAATAAAAGTAAATAAACTTTCAATTAATACTGTAAATTAGCTACAAAATGTTATTAAAACAAACAAAAAAAAATATATTTTACATTAATATAAATCTACAACAAAACAACAAGTGAACATGTTTAAAAAACAACATCATACAAAAACATATTTTAAATATAATTTTAAGTGCTTTTATTAAGAAAAAAAAAAAAAACAAAATAAATAAAATAAAATACATTAAATGATGAATATTTTTTCAAGCATCTTTGAAAATGGTCTTGTAGGGTAAATTTAAAACAACAATTATTAATAAACAAAAAGACGGCAAAATGGTTTTGATAGTTAAAATTAAATAAAAGCCAACAAAAAGAATAATAATTTTAATAAAACTAAATATAAAATATAAATATAAATGTATGTGCAAAGTGAATACTAAATTATTTTATTTTAATTGTTTAAAATCATCAAACTAAAAAACATAAAAGAAATAACTGAAGCTCAAAACCCTTTTTTCAAAACTAGTGACATGTTCTTGAACAGTTCTTATATGGGAACTGAGACAGCATATAGTTGTAATTCCTCAGTAATTTTTGTTTTAAACTGTTAGAAGAGCTAATTTGTTCTAAAAAAGCTTTAGTGCCAAAGAACTGATTCGCAAAGAACTCTTAACAATCACAACAATGTTTTAAAGAACAAATTCTAAGGAAAAGTAGAAGCAATTCCATTTCGTTTCAATGCTTTATTATTTACAATCGTAACTACGTATTTGTAAATTGTTCACCCCTATTCAGCATTTCAATTACCTTTACGCATTCAGTTACGCAACGATGGAAAAAAGGTATTCCAACAGAAAACTGTATCGTAAGAAAAAGAAGAATCTAATCCATTTCGTTTCAATGCTTTACGATTGTGTATATTCTGCATTACGATCGTAGCTACGTTTTTGTAAGTTGTTGTTTATGTGGCGGAGAGTCGAATCGAGAGCAGAATACCAAAGTTCCCAAACGGAGAAAATTTCGATTCGAATTGAAATGTAGATTAGGGGGTGGTTATTTTAGTGACGGAGCTTCGAATCGAAAAGTGGAATATCAAAGTTTCCAAAGGGAGAACATTTTGATTCGTATTGAAATGCAGCAAACTTGTTTATTCACAATAGTTGATTTTGTTCGTGAATAGTTTACAACATTATAATATTTGATTCACGATAGAGAGGTTAATTTCAAACCTAAATCGACAAAAATTACGGAATATATTCCTTAAATTTTGAAATTTTGAAGTTGCAAATTACATTTGAAATATCTTTGATTTGTAAATTTCTAAATCTTAGACACTAAAGAGAAAAGTGATTTGAAATCAATATAAATTTATTAAAACCAGAGAGATCGTTACGTATAACGATTCGAAAGAAAAAGCTTTCGATATACAATTTTCAAAATTTTTGGTTTTCAAGATACATACTTTTGTTTCCGAAATGGCTTAGTATTTCAATTCGTTTTCCTATAGGCTTTTGGGTAGGGATCTCGTTGCTACATAAAGCTTTTATTGTTTAAGAAAGAAATAATGTTTGATCTCTTGTTTCCAACAAAATCTCTAAAAATCTCTCTCTATTCTAAAACTGCATTTTATTCAAAATGCAACTTAAGAAAAAGTAAAAACTGATTTTTCTATTTCACTTTCAATATCAAATTTTAGTATTTGCAAAAGCACATTCACACACACCATTTATAAACGTAATAAATACATTCTTTTAAGATAAAATAATTAAAAAAATAACAAAAACAGAAAAAGAATTGTTACAAATAAATAATGTCATAAATTTTTGCACATAAACAAATAAATCATTTATTATGTTTTCTTTCTTAAATCACAAAAATAAACGCAAAAAATAACCATAAAACACACATACGATGCAAGATATTTACTCGTTTTTAACGAATCAAGAGTAATTCATTAATAATGAGATTAATACAATGAGAAAGAGGAAAAACGTGTAGAATATACTTTTAGGAAAGATAACATTGTAAATAAACAAAACTTATATAAAATTCATCTTTAACAAATATAACATCAACAACAACAACATCAACAATATTTATATGTAATAGTAGCGAATTTATAATAAATAAAACTTAAAACTTATAATAATCATTATACAAGAAGAATAAAAAAGAAATATGAATTATTTAAAATAAAAATTAAACACAATTACCTACATAAACCAGCAACACATACATACATACCACATAAATGCATATGATAATTTTTTTATAATTTAGTTTGAATGTTAATAATAATCATTATTATTCATAATAAAATAAAAAAAAAATTAACGGTAAAAGTTTATTTTGCATTATTGCACACATTATTACATACTCCCTTACAAACATACACACACATACACCCACTCATTATTAAATAAAAAATACATTTATATAGAAAAAATACCGTAATTGTGTATCACTTATTTTAACAATAAAAACAAATGAAATTAATAAAAAGAAAAAATAACAAAAAAAGTACAAATATTTATTTATTTAAAGAGTTAAATAGTGGTTATTAACAACAAAAAATCACATTTTAAGAATATTATTCCGTCCCCAACCGCATGAAAGTAAACAACAAAGTTTTATGGTTGGTTGTTTATCATGATAGTTCACTGAGTGCGAAATGTCAATTAGAGTCAAAGAAACTGCGCTTTTACAGCACCACTCTACTCGTCAGACCCAGATATCTCACCAAGGTTGGCTATGAAGTGCCAAGAAAACTATTTCTCTTAGCGGCTTGAGCAGAACATTCACAGATAAGATGGAAGACAGTATTTTCCTTTTCCCTGTCTTAACAACTGCGACAGTAGTCTTTGAAGGGGAAACCCAGCCGACTTGCATGTCTGTCGAGCACTTAGTGTACAGTTATTCCTGCGATTTATCCATCTATTTTGAGCCTTTCGATCAGACAGAATATGAGGATACTGATTTTGATAAAAAATTAACGGAGTTGCTACTGAAAGGGCTTTGGAGATGTCAGACTCCCTGACGAATGCAGTGTCTTCCAAGCAAAGATCTTAGCAATCTGTAAAACAATGGAACAGATACTGGATCACATAGTTCTAAGGTCTGGAACCCAATTACCGCATCCGAAATCATGAGAAACTTGAGATCTGAGCTCTCAAGTTTGTTTAAATTTCATATTTATTTAATACATAATACATAATACATACATAATACATCAGGCACTTCCTCAAATTCAATTTGTTCTTTGTTTGTATTGGGTGCCTTAATACAAATATCTGCACAAGAGACCCGGTTCTCCAGTGCCATTACAACACATGCCCCAGTTATTGACAGCAAGATAGGTCCAAAGTAAAACACAGTGTTCACAGCTTCAACCCAATGAAAAAACAATTGTAGACTCTATTCAGCCCAAAGTAGAGCCAATAAAGAATTTATCACTATCATCAGCAAGCTTTAGGCCAGCCTTTTGAAAACACTCCTCCGACTCGGTATGAAATTCTTACAAATTGCACAATTCAAAATAAATATAACCAAAATGATTGGCAGTCACATTAGCAGTGTCAGTATTTTCAAAGGTTTGTACTATATATACATATTATTATTATTTTATAATGGAAAATTATAAAATGAACAATTGAATTAAATTAATATATAGAAAATGTTATTACACTTTTAGACCTCAGAAATTAGAATTAGATTTGCAGAAATTTGAACATCTAATGTAATAATTTGTATCAACAATTAGTAAATTTTCTATTTCTATTTTCTCCGTATTCAGTCCCACTGTACGGTATTGGACATTGGTAAAAACTTTATGAAAATAACACAGGCCAACAACATTTAAAAAAAGTCGAAACCAAGAGACCAAAGTATACAAAGTATAAATTTTGAAGCAATTCAAAGTTTTCAAATATCTGAAAAAAAAACTTTAGACTTTCTGCAGACAAGACAACGAAATACAAGTTTATTTACATTTAATATCCATTTAATACATAATACTGATTAAAATATTTGTTCTTTTCAAAACTTTTCCTTCGAAATCCCTTCAATTATCCAACACAATGGGAATTTCAGCTTCTTCTTCAGATTCTATTTGTTCTTTTCTCAAAGTGATTACCTTTGATCTTGTATTGGGTGCCTTAATACGAATATCAGCACAAGAGAGGAAATGTTCTTGAGGACCGCAACCCATTGCACCAGTGCCATTCTCACACATGCCCCAGTTATTGCCAGCACGATAGGTCCATCGTAATACACAATGTTCACAGCTTAAACCCGAGGGCAAAACAACTGTGGATTCAATCCAGCCCAAAGTAGTGCCAATAAAGAACTTATCACTACCATCAGCAAACTTTAGGCGATACTTTTGGAAACAATCCTCCGACTCGGTATGAAATTCATCCAAATTACACAATTCAAAATAAATATAACCCAAATGATTGGCAGTTATTTGTACACCTACATTAGCAGTGTAGGTATTTTCATAGGTTTGCACTATAACACCGGAGCCACCATATTTACCACCCAGCTCATTAGCTCTGGGAGTAGGATCACTGTAATTGTCACCACACAAACCGCATTTACCATCATTTGTGTACCATTGTACCTAAGAATTGTAAACATTAATCGTTGTTTGTCTAAATTTATAGATATGAAGGAAACATACCCCAAAACCACCACAATAATTGGCATTATCATTATAATTAACTGGAGCTGTCTTATCATAACGCCAACGAGAAGATCTACCCGGAGGACTTAACATCATGCCATGACCCCAGCTAACATCAAACAGTGCTAAACACTGTATGATAATAATGCCAATGACTAAATTAAAACATTTCATTTTAATTTAATTTCTTTTTGTTTAATTAGGTTCTTCACTTTCTTATAACTGTGCTGAGAATACTAGGCATTGGACGATTTAAAGATTCTTTTATACTAATTTCATTTTACAATCCTTATCAAATTAAACCACAAACATTACCACCTTAAATATGTACTATACTTATATGTTCGTCAACCATTCCATTCCTCTTCACACCCAATTCATTATCAGTCAAATTAAGTAATGGGCTATAAAGAATTATATGCTGCAATAACAACAAACAACAACACAAATAATCAAAATTTCTTCCTTTTTTATTAATTTACAATTTGTTTTTCTTTCCGTTTTTTTTTTTTTGTTTTTATTTTTAATATTTTTTAATTTGCAATGTCATAAGAAATTTATGATTATTTTGGACAAACATATCAATCAAGTTAGACTTGAGTGTGTGGGTATAATCTGAGATGAGATTGTTGTTACATTTATCTGATTTTAATCAGATCAATCCCTGGATTTACATACATTAATCTGATTTCAATAGTTTTTGTTTTTGTGAAATTTACTTGGCAGCGGTTTATATCTATAAAACTATTTTTATTTGGAGAACTTTATTTTAGTAAAAATGTTTTAAATATAAATTAAAAAGTTTTTTAATGAAAATTATATTTTCATAAAAAAAAATATATTAAAAAACGGAATCTTAAGAAAAAGAAGAATCCGAAATGGATCCGCGAATGGGTCATATTAATTAGAGAACAAAAATGCAAATTTCAATTCTATAAATAGTAAATGATCTCATAAGAAATCAAGTTTTAAATAATTTTTTCTAATTATTTCCATTTTTTTTTTCGAAGTAATAAAAGTATCAGTTCAACTGATACGCAAAAAATCACATATACAAAATACATCGCTAGTGAAAAATAAATCTTTAATCGTTTAAAAAAAATTAACCTACATAAATGATTCATTTGAAAAAGAACGAAAAAAAAACTAAAAATTTAAATGTTTACTAAAGAAAATTATATGATTTCATGTGAACAATTGCGATAAGCAAACATCAACAACTGTTCTTATCACTATTAGAAAGTAATTACATACGCATTTGTAGGACAATTCAAACGACCTTAATAGCCCTCATAATACAAAGAAAAAAATCTTTCAATAGAAAATACTCTCAATAAATGACAAAATAAATAAAATATTTTATGATTTAGTAGTAATGTTGTTAAAAACTTTTTTTTATTGACTGTTTACTAAAAAATATGTTTATATATAATTACTAGAGCAGAGACAGATGACTGCATTTGTAACTCAAGTAAAAAATGAAAATGATAAAAATTTAAAACAAAAAAAAAGAAGGGGTTCATCCATAAAAGGAAACATAATGGTTTGTTTAAATATATAAAAATTGTATAAATGTATATCAACAAGTCAACTAAGTGCTTATTACTTTTTCAAAGCTTGCACAAAATTAGACATATCATATTCTTCATCGTATTGCTGTTCAGACCACAATTCCGGAAGATTTTCTATAATCGAATTCATGGACATTTGTCCCGTAGACGACGTATTCGAATTTGTTTTATCATTGCCATTCTTATTCCGTTCGTTTAGATTAAACAAATCGAATATTTGGCCGGTTGCCATGGTATCCAAGCTGGCATTCTCAGCACTAACTACGGTATTGGCGGTGAGTAATTTAAACTTTTGCAAGCACATAATTTTCTCCTCCATTGATTTGCGTGTTATCAGACGATAAACATTGACTACTTTCTTTTGGCCAATGCGATGAGCACGATCCATGGCCTGTAAATCTTTCATAGGATTCCAATCATGCTCTACAAATATAACAGTATCAGCGCCAGTTAAATTTAAGCCCAAACCACCAACCTAAAGATTATAGTAAAGCGTTTTATTGAGTTTTGTTTTCTATTCATTATATTTTATTATTTTTTACCTGTGTTGTAAGCAATAGTACATCAATGCTGGGATCTGTATTAAAGTTGTTAACAATATCTTGACGCATTGAAGCCGGCACACTACCATCGAGACGCAAATACGTCACCGTTGGCAAATGTTTTTTAAGCAAATCCTTTTCTACAATATCTAACATGACTTTTAATTGACAAAATATTAAAGCCCGATGTTGGGACACCGACTCGGTTTGCACACCAATGCCACAGTCCAATAAAAGTTGTCTATACAAGAAAAAAAAAAAAAATAAATATTGCAATTAGTAGGCAAGTAAATGAAAAAAACCCAAAATGTATACTTACTTCAATGCTGGCAATTTAGCCGAATGTTCAATGTCATTTAACGAACTCTGTTGCTGATTTAATTCTTGAGTTATACGTGCAAATTCTGGATGCTTTGGTGTCAACACCAATTTGGGATGATTGCATACATTTTGCAAATAACGCAACGCATGGAATATGTGTGTTTTAGCACTAAATTCACCGCCATTTTCGAGACAATCTTTAATTTCCGAATTGAGATGTGTACGACTGAAGTCTTCGTATAGTCGTTCCTGCAAGGGACTCAATTCACACAACAAGTCCTGAGTAATCTTTGGCGGTAGATCAGTGAGAACATCTTCCTTGACACGTCTCAGCAAGAAGGGCAAAACTTGCCGATGTAGTGCCTCCATAGCCAAAACACCGGCTTCTTGTTCTTTGGCAGAACTTTTGGCATCGCGCGATGCAAAAATTGGTCTAGAGTAGCGGGCAATAAACTGTTTCTCAGTTCCTAAGAAGCCCGGCATAAGGAAATCAAATAGAGACCACAATTCGAGTACATTATTTTGTATGGGTGTGCCAGAGAGTATTAAACGATGATTTGCTTTAAGCATTTTAATGGCTTTCGAACTTTTAGTCTTGCCATTCTTAATGATGTGACCTTCATCCAAAACGCAATAATTCCAATTGATGGTTCTAAAGAAATCAATGTCTTTACGTATAGTATCATAGGAAGCCACTACCAGATTACATTTGGTACCAATAAAGCCGCGTAATCTTTCGCGGCAACTGGGCAAACCAACATAGTGCAATGGTATGAGAGTTTTTGGATCTTTTAAGAATTTATCCACTTCATAAACCCAGTGACCGGTTAGAGTTGGGGGACAAATAACCAAGCTAGGCAAATTGTTGCATTTCTCTATGGCGCGTTGATGGTGATCGCCTGCTAGAATACAGATGGTTTGTAAAGTTTTACCCAGACCCATGTCATCGCATAGTATGCCATGCAAATTGTACTTGTTGAGAAACCACAGCCAATTTATGCCGGCCTGTTGATATGACCGTAATTCCACCGAAATAGGAACCGGTACTTTGTAATTCGGTATAGTCTTGGGTGCAAATAAGTAATCCAAAAATTCTCTATCCCGAGATTTGCGTGCTTGCAAATCGGCCGACTTTAGCTCATGTTTAATGCCATTGCTAGCGGTTGCAGCTGTTGTATCTAGGGGCATTAATTGGATGAGAGTAGCAAAGCAATGGGTCGAAAGGAGACGAACACATTCATCATTATCACTCATAGCTCCTAAAAGTGGAACTACGAGCAATACAATATACGGAACAATACGTATTTGCAGCTTTTCCACGACCCTTTCTATTGTCTCTATAGCTCCCTGGCGTTCAATTATATTTTCAATCTTTTGCAATAAACTCAATATGTGGTTAACCACAAAATCCATTATGCGACAGGGATCTATATGAGCCAAAGTAGCCAGACATCTGGAGGCCATGTGACGTACAGCTTTCAAGGGATGGCCAATGAATTTTCCCAAAGGTTGTAATAGTTGAAAGAGTTTTTCATGTAAATCGCTATGGAAATGGGGCGCTGCTATTTCAATTAGCTGTAATGAGGTCATCAAATCGTTTGTTTGTCCTACATCTATGAGAATTTCAGCTAGAGTTTCCATTTTCGGAAAAGCGCTCACGAATTGTTCGATCTTGTGAAACATTAACTGTTCTAAGATGGGTATCTTTTCCAACAGGCTACTGCCAAAATGTTGACATAATTTGGTAATGGCTCCAGTGGCGCCCAAACGTTGTATACGGCACTTTTTCATTTCAACTTCAGTGAGTGAAACTTTAGAAGTAATCTCACTAACAGCGGTTGCAGCCAATGATTCACTTAAGGGTGGCCTGCCAGGACCGCGAGAAGTACTGGGTATAGGGGTTGCACTAGCAACATTGGTTCCAGCGTTTACTGAATTAGATCTATTAGTGGATGTTGGCGTGTGTTGTTGTAAACTTAATGTTAAAATACCATAATAGATACAGGAGTTGCTATCACTTGCACTGGTAAGAACAGGTGATTCCTTTAAGGATACACTTGGATTTAACTAAGAAAAGAAAGAACAAAATAATTTAATATTTTCAGCGTTACAAGTTTTTTTTCAATTAATCTTACTATTTTTGGAGTAAATTCGGTATCACTTTTAAGCAGAGTACTTAAATTAGTCAATAATTTGCCATTTGGACTAGGGTTCCTATCACAAACCTCCGCCATAAACTGTACTAAGAACTCACAAGAGAGTTCTTGCAATAAGAGACTTTCTTCTCGTTTAACTGATTCCATTAGAGGTTTGACAACTGGATTTAATTTTTCTGGAAGGCATTTTAAATACACAATAGCCCCCGCTAGAGCTGCTTGTGTGCTTACACTAAACGCCGACTGCTCTGCCGAAGTCTGCAGAAATGAACTTTGTAAACCTTTTCGACGTTCCTCTAACATTTGAAGAATTTTCGGTTTCAGTGCATATTTACGTAAATCGGCAGTAAGAGTCGTTGCTACCGATTCAATTTGATCCAGTGTCAACACTTTTGCTTGACCAAAATCATTGATGGGTATTTTGTATTGTTTTAAAGTGGCAATAAAATCATGAGTCTCTTGATGCAGTCTTCAATATTAAACAGAAAATAAATGGTTAGTACACACAAAATTTCTACATATTATTATTGTTATTCGTACCTTGTTAAGGACACAGCTACTTCATCATAATACACATATTCCATAATGCAGTAACGTAATTTTTCTTGTAGCTGGGAAGGTCCGGGACATATAGAAGGGTCACTCTTGGCCCAAAATGCTATAATAAGGCCACAAACTAAGCGCTGTACAGCAGAGCGTGAGTTTAAATGACCCAATAAAACTTTGGT